GGACAATTTCCCGGCCGTGCCTTTATCTCAGGTATGCATTTGCTTATTGGCTGTCGAAGCACTCTACGCAGTACCGAATACTACAGTTCTGAGCAAAGTACTCCTCCTCATTTGTATTCCAAAAGTCACTTTTTAAACACACGTACTAGGGTTGTTGGAAGCTTCAGGATCAGACTTGACTGCCCTTCCCTAATAAAAAAATTGCCATGGCCTAGAATCAGGTTCGATTCCATGTGTCATGAGCTGATCAATAATATAGTTGCATCGTTGAAAATTAAAATGATAATTTGATGCTAGTTATTAACTTACAGTTTATTACGTTTTTATTTGATATATTGGTTTATTGGAATTACATACATTTGCAGGCTTGTGTGCTCAATTTAGGCTTATAAACCTTTGTTAAATAGGTTGTTGTTGTTGTTGTAGTTAATTTACGTCGCACTAGAGCTGCACGATGGGCTATTGGCGACGGTCTGGGAAACACTCCTGAGGATGATCCGAAGACATGCAATCACAATTTTCATCCTCTGTAGAGGGGATGGCACCCCCTCTTCGGTAGTCCGACGATCTACACGCGAAGTCGAGCACTTTACGGTAGAACAGTTTAACGAGGACCAATGCCGCGCAGCTTCGGTCCCTACGCAGACTGATCCAAGTGGTCACCCACCCGCACACTGACCGTAGCCAGTGATGCTTGACTTCGGTGATCTGGTGGGAACCGTGTCTTAATGATAAGTCCACTTCGGGACTATTGGTTTATTGGAATTACATACATTTGCAAGCTTGTGTGCACAACTTAGGCCTATAAACCTTTGTCAAATAGAAGGACAGATAGCACAATACAGAGAAGGATATCACGAAGATACATCCAGGGTAACAGTGGGATTCGAACACGCTACCTCCACGCTTTGCACAGCGTTTGGCGGGGGACACGGTTCAACCAAGGAGGCCCCGTTTTATTGCTTTATTGAAATTAAAATACATTAGCAGGCTCGTGTGCACTCTTTTGGCTTATAAACATTTGTCAAGTAGAAGGTCAGATAGAACAGTTCTGAGAAGGACACTACAGGGTTAAAACGGGATTCGAACCCGCCACCTGTACGCTTCACACTACGTTTGACGGGCGATACCGCTCGGCCAAGGAGGTCCCCCGTTTTTATTTGATTATTGATATACATACATCTCCAGGTTTGCGTGCTCAACTATCTTCGTTAAACTGTGCTACCGTAAAGTGCTGGACTTCGCGCGCAGGTCGTCGGGCTACCGAAGCGGGGGTGCCATCCCCTCCGCAGAGGATCAAAATTGTGATGGCATGTCTTCGGATCATCCTCCGGGATGTTTCCCAGACCGTCGCCAATAGCCCATTGTGCAGCTCTAGTGTGACGTAAATTAACAACAACAACGACGTGCTCAACTACACATGAAAGGCTTATAAGCCTTCGGCAAGTAGAAGAACAAATAGCACTATTCAGTGAAAGACTGCACGAAGATGCATCTAATGTTACGGCTGGTTTCGAACTTGCTACCTCCAAGTTACAAGTGTTTCGCGATCGATACAGACCAGCCAGGGAGGTTCCTAATGTTTTGCAGGCACGCATTGCATGTACAGTGAGCAAAAAAAAAATAAAAGAACCACCCTGAATATTTTTTGACCTAATGCTCGGACCTTCACGTTCTAGAACTCAGTCTTATCGGTTCAACAGCGTGACCTCAAATGTGCTAATTGATTAAGAGCAGACGATATTTTAAGCTGCTGAACAAGACTCAAAAAAGAATTTTTTCTGAATTAACTTTTTTCCCGACTAATTTCTGATCCCCATCGAATCCTGCTTCTAGATGTTAGGTTAAAAAATAAACTTTTCTTACAAATTTTAATCCGACTTCAAAGCATTTTATGTCTTAAAGTCTTTAAATGAATTTGAAGTATAAGCCAGTGATCTCTTTGTAGTCGTTCAGGAATTTTGCCTTTTGGTCAAATCAGTTTATCTTTATAAATACTTCTTTGAAAAATATGAATGTTAAAATTATCTAGTTTTTTTTTCTTTCTTTTTTTTATAATGGCGGGCACTTGGGTCCATTTCCCATTGGCCTCAGAAAGGCCAGAACTGCTGCTCTCTTTTCGTTACCCCGGTCAGTGTGCGGGTGGGTGACCCACTTGGAAAAGTCTGCGTAGGGACCGAGGGTGTGCGGTATTGGTCCTCGTTAAACTGTGCTACCGTAAAGTGCTCGACTTCGCGCGCAGGTCGTTGGGCTACCGAAGCGGGGGTGCCATCCCCTCTGCAGAGGATCAAAATTGTGATGGCATGTCTTCGGATCATCCTCAGGGATGTTTCCCAGACCGTCGCCAATAGCCCATTGTGCAGCTCTAGTGCGACGTAAATCAACAACAACAACAACAACAACTTTTCGTTACCCAGTGAGCACCTATGGCCACACCACGGCGGCGGAGCAGCGTCACCCACGTCACACAACCACAAACTCGTTTATAGGGCGGATCATATTCACGCAATAACACAGAAGAAAAGGCATAGAACACACAGAGGGAGAGAAAGAAACATCCATGCCCTGAGCGTGATTCCAACCCGTAACCATCGGCTCCACAGTCAGGTGCGCTAACCACTCGGCCACCTGGTCGGCAAATTATCTAGTTTCAATTTCTTAAAAAAATATTTTCTTAAACAAGGTTTACAAATAATAAATTTTAATGTATGCATAGATGTTTAAAAAAAATGAAAGAGGAAGGGGTTGTGCGTTCGTTAAAGTGATGAGTGCTGTGAGAATTGTTGTTGTTGTTGTAGTTCATTTACATCGCACTAGAGCTGCACAATGGGCTATTGGCGACGGTCTGGGAAACATCCCTGAGGATGATCCGAAGACATGCCATTACAATTTTGATCCTCTGCAGAGGGGATGGCATCCCCGCTTCGGTAGCCCGACGACCTGCACGCGAAGTCGAGCACTTTACGGTAGCACAGTTTAACGAGGACCCATACCGCACACCCTCGGTCCCTACGCAGACTGATCCAAGTGATCACTCACCCACACACTGACAGAAGCTAGTGATGCTTGACTTCGGTGATCTGCTGGGAACCGTGTCTTAACGATCAGTCCACTGCGGGACACTGTGAGAATAAAGCGGCAGGTTTGTTGATAAGCTATGAACTATGGTTTCCACAAGTTTATTGAATTCTGAACAATTGCGTGTGTAATATTTTAAATGTAACTGAAACGAAATTTTAAATGTACTTCCGTTGATTGTTTGGTTAAAAAGAAGTTTACTGAGAACAAAAGTGTAATAAATAATCTAAAGCATTGAGATAGTGAGTTCGATTCCAGCAGCCTACTTGAATGTACATTTGAAAAGTCTTTCTGAATTTCGAGCTATCTGTTTCCCAAAAAAATAACTCAAAATGTTTGATTTTTCTATTTAAAAAACTTTCCTAGCTAGCATAAAAGTTGTTCAGTATCTCCGTTACCCCGAGTTTGTTTCAGTCTATGGGTTTTAATCTCTTGGTCATACAACCCATGTTGCTGACTTTCTTTGCACGCAAATATATGTAAATTATAATTCTTGCCAATTTAAAATTTATTCTTGTACAGATTTACAAAGAGATAACGAACTGAAAATTTTATTTTAAAGAACAGTTAATCATCTAATGCATGGAAAATCACATGGATGTATATGGAATGCATGGTTCTAGGTGTAGTTATAAATAAATATTCCGGCTAATGTGTTTATTGCTAAGTATTGCTTATAAGCCCTTTGATGTTGAAGCACAAGCTAGAGATGGATATTTTACATTTTATATTATAACCATCGTTGAACAGCCGACCCAATTTTGGGTTTACGACTACTAATGCTCAACTCCGTAGCCTTATAATTTTGAACCAATCCAGAAGACAAGGAAACTCCTGGATCAGTACCCCAGAGGTATGGTTTGTAATGGGAACATGGAGGACTTCGTGACTCGACAGATTTAACGTGCAATAGTCACCATATATTATACGGGGAGTTTTCAGTCTGCGAGGATCGAACCCATGACCTCTTGGACATGGGCCCAGTGCCCTACCAACCAGGCTATCTCGGCCCTAGAGATGGACATTACAAAGAAAAACCCAAAGTCGGGATAGCCTGGTTGGTAGGGCACTGGGCCCATGTCCAAGAGTTCGTGGGTTCAACCCCGCAGGCCGGAGACTCCCCGTGTAGTAAGTGATGACTGATGCACGGTAAATCAGTCGAGTCGCGAAGTCCTCCATGTTCCCATAACAAATCTATACCTCTGGGGATACTGATCCAGGAGTTTCCTTGTGTTCTGTATTGGTTCAAATTTGCAAAGCACCGGAGTTGAGCATTCGTAGTCGTAATCCTAAAATTTGGTCGGCTGTTCAACGACGGATATAAAAAAAAAACCCAAGGGAAAGAAGTAATTCGAACCCGTGACCTTCCTACTACAGATTATTTGGTAGAACAAATGGACTGCTCGGCCAAGAAGGTTCAAAGGCTCTGTTTTAATACATAAAAATAAACAAATAAATGAATATAAAAGTAGGCATCTTACGTCATTCAAACCAAACAAAAAAATATCTCCTCCAATCTAATTTTTTGTTGCAACCCTTCTCCCATGAATATTGTTGCTAAAAAATTTATTATTAACTAAACAGAAACTTTTGCTCTAATCAAGTTGCACTATTAAATATCCTTAGTTTGAAAATCATAATATGTTTAAAAACTTTATTATAGGAGTAAAAAGTTCACAGCATAACTCACATCTATAAGACTAGTTATGGTTTTGAGGAGGCATCGCCAAATGTGTACTCCACTACTTTTCAACTCGAAAACGTAATTGAGGCATAGAGTTGAAATACTATCTCAAGAGTGCTTGTGTTGATTCTAAAACCGCAGTTTCCATAGTCAACTTTTAGGTATTGAATCATTTTCTGTATATCTAAGAGATATTTATTAAGTTTAATCCGTTTGTCTTTTCTCATCTTAAAACACTATGACGACTCTAAATCAGAAGGAAGTTGTAAGTAAGATTTCTCATGAATACTCTACCTCGTGGAGTTTAAAGAATATAAAATCTTTGGGATCAAAAAGCATAAAAACTGATGAATTCTCTCCCATACCCGGCTCAACATTTTATTTTGAAATTTTGTATCAAGAAAATTCAAGTGTTGAGAAAATATCCTATTTCAAGATGATGTTCGTGAAAAAAGCGGGGATAAATATTCCAAAATCCATGAGAATGAATATCACCGTATCTGTAAATACCTCATATAATGCAATTTTGAAGACGTATCAGAATTTCGAAATTAGAGTAAACGAAATGGACGTCGTTACGATTTCGAGTGAAATTTTTAAGTACTTTGTTTATGATAAAGCTGTTAAAGGTTATAAGGCAACAGGAGATCCATGCTTTGGAAATCATTCTGAATTATTAATAAAAAGCAATTTAGTGTTTTTCGAAATTCTCGTCTCTCCGAGTGATTATTTTCATGATAAGCGATTACTGAAAAACTTAAAAGAATTTGTGAATGACTTCGATTGCATGTACGAATCCTGCCTCTTGACTGATATCGAATTTAAAATAGGAAATGAATCATTTTCCGTCCACAAATGCATTTTAGCAGCTCACTCTCCAGTTTTACGTAGAATGATAAGTAGTGACTTTTCAGAATCCAAGACAAATACCATTTCCATTAATGATTCATCACCTGAAATTTTTAAATGTTTCCTGAAGTATTTGTATTCCGGAAAAATCGAGGACAAAACTTGGTCAGTCGTGAAGGAACTTTTAATACTTGCCGATAAATATGATGTTCGTTCTTTGAGAACAAAATGTGGCGAAATTCTTGCCTCTTTCTTATCCATTGACAACATCTATGAAATACTCAAGATCGCGTATGAATATGGAGATGAATATTTGAAAGAAGAAGCTAATGTTTTTGCAGTTAAACATATATTGGAAATAGCTCCCAATGATGAATGGAAAGAATTGACTGACTCAAATCCTGTTATTGGATACAATGTTATGAAAAATTTTGCACCAAAATTTCCCTCAATTCCTCAATTTGGCGGTTTTTCTATTATTAAATGTAATTCTGAATAGAAAGTATCTTTGGTAATTGAAATTGAAAATATATTTTTGGAGTGCATAAAAATAAAGTTCTTGGTAATATAAAAGGTATTTTTTATATCAAATATTTTCTTATCATTTCTTTAAAATAGGTATTTTACTAGTTCATTATTTCAAGCTTTTAAACTCTTATTTAAAAAGCTTTTGAAATATTTAAATATAGAAATTACTTTTAATGCTCTTGTTTGAATTTTTTAAATACGTTTGACTGCAAATTTTAGATACAGTTGAGTGTTTTTGATGAAAAATTTATTAAAACACTAAAAAAATTTATTAAAATTGAAATGCTTGAAATCTTTTTCAGTTAGTAACGAAATTAAGTTATTTTGAACATTACAAACTCTTTTTGATGTTTCATTTTTATTTTTGTTAATTTACTTCTGTATAAATAATTCGTTTAAAATTTACATTCGGTCATTGTTTAGGTTTCATGAATGCTTATTTTATTTAATGATAAATTAAATCTGTGTCTGAAGTTTGAAAGTATCTGTCATCTACATGAAAAGTATCTGTTACCTGCATGGAAAATATCTGTTACCTACATGGAAAGTATCTGTTAGCTGCATTAACGTAACATTTGAAATATTATCTTAGCTCAGAATTTCTAGATCATGTTTATGCGAACGAGTGTCGTATTGCACATTACATTTTTATAACCTTTACCAGAATTCAAGTTAGGAAGTTCTGTACATCGCGGTAAGCAATTAATTTGCCTTAAAAATTATTTTTGAAAATTTTGCTTTGAAATACTGCTTATATTTTAAATTTGTATGATGAAGAGCATACTTTATTTTAAAGTTATAAATTTAGTACATTTTGTGTCCAATGGGAAAAAAAATCTATTTATAGGAATATCACGCTGGTTGAAAACCGTAGATATTTAATAGCATTTGTACATGTCGTGCCATGGCTTGTCATTATCAGTGTTCTTGAAATGTAATTTTGTATCTTTGTCAGAATCATAAAAATCAGTTAGAGAAATTAAAACAAAAGCAATAACAATAATAATCAAAAATGAACTTAAATGCCGGTTGAAAAAAGTTTTTGATGATTTTATATCCAAGATTTTCAAAACTTATACTCTGTATACCTTATTACTCACAACACATAACGGTCAATGCATGTAATTAGTACCCTTGAAATAAATTTTTTAGAATTCTTATTAAAATAAAATCAAAATTTCATTTCATAATTTTTTAATACAAAGGTAAGAAACAACTTTTTAATGTAAATAAAACTATTTATTTTGATTTACTGATAGAAATTTTCATTCTTAAATGTGTTTTAACAATATTATTTCATCGCTACTATTTTGAATAATATTTATAAAAATTTCTCTTGTTTTTCTAATTTCCATAAAATGATATTAATAATATAAAATAATATAAAAGTATAGTTAATCAACAAGTGTAATTAATAAATAAAATCTAGTTTAAGCTTAATAGGAAAATACCCAAAGTGTAGTTCGCAAACTTGTATTTATGTTAATGCTTATAAATTTGTGTAAATTTTTTTCTCTTTCGATTTCGCTTCAGTTGCAGTGGTGTAGATTATTTGAAATGTATGTTTGAGCAAGAAATTGTTATTTTTTACTGTAATTTGATTCGGAACTTTTTACAGTGTAGTTCTTAACAGTTATTATAATAATTACAATAATAGCAAATCTCGCTAATCATATACTTTAAAAATTATATAAATTATAATCGTTAAAAAATAAAAATTTCACATTCTAGAATTAATAAATCATAATATTTATAACTGTTAAAATATTTGTCCTTTCTAAATTATAACCACTGTTAAAATTCAGCAATTACATTTTTAGAATAATTACAACAATTATTTAAGACACATTATTAATACAAAATATAGTTCTTAACACAAAATTAAAACTATAAAAAATATCAGTACTTTTTTATAACCATTGTTGAACAGCCCACCCAATTTTCGGGTTTACGACTAATGTTCAAGTCCGCGGCCTTATGATTTTGAACCCAGTCCAGAAGACGAGGGAACTCCTGGATCAAGTATTGGGAGAAATTTGCCTTCATGGAGGACTTTTCAAAAGGAACTAACACGCATTTGCGGTACATGGAGAGAAAGACCACGAGAACCTCCCACGGTTAGCCTGACGGCAAATGGACTCTAACCCATGATCCGTCTACGTCTGAGGATATTTCACGTCAGCTCTGTGGTCAGTGCAAGCCGGATGCAGATTCGTATAGACCGGCCATCGGTGGGATTCGAACCCAGTTCACCACATTGGAAAGCGAATGCTCTATCCCCTGAGCCATCCGGCTCTAAGATATGTCAATAATCATGTTCTTAAAAAGAACACATCAATTATATTCTTTAAAATATAATATGTTGAAATTCGAAAAGTAATATGCTCTAAAATCTCACTCAACCATTTCAGTGAACAATAATAACAGTTATTTACTACACATTATTAATACAAAATATAGTTCTAAAAACATAATTAAAACAATAAGAAATATCAATAATCATATTGTTGAAAAGAACATATCATTTATATTTAAAATATAATATATTGAAATTCGAAAAGTAATAAGCCCTAAAAACTCGTACAGTAATTTCAGTGCTTTGTAAGAATAAAACTAGTTAGTTTTTTAAAATATTTGACTAAATTGAAATTTGCCGAAAAAAAAGCGTAATTATTCAAACTAGCAAAGAAACCTACTCCATTAAGACCCAGATTCCGTAATAGCAGAGGCAAAATATGCTGGTAATGATTAATCCAAAAATAGTAGTTACTAATATTGGTACTTGATGAACCTATGATAAAGAAAGAAAATAAAAACATTAATAGAACTATAAAGAAAATAGATTATTAGACATTATTTGACTATTTATTTATATTATTAGACATTTATAGACTATTTATAGATTAGACAACATACATTTTTCATGTAAATTTCGAAAAGCTGATTAATAAATCGACTTTATAAATAAAATTTAAATGCAGAAAACATATTAGAGAATTACACAGCAGCTTATACTTATATGCTCGCAAATGATTATATTATATGCTCGCAATGACAACCCCATTCTGCCAGGAGTAATACTGTGAATAATAATTGCAATTTTAATTATATATCATATAATGTACAGCTTATACTGATATGGTCTCAAATGATTATATTATATGCTCGTAATGACAGTCCCATTCTGCCAGGAGTAATACTGTAAATAATAATTTCAATCTTAATTATAATATACAGCTTATAACATACTTATAGGCTTGCAAATGATTATATTATATTCTCGCAAATGACAATCCCATTCTGCCAGGAGTAATACTGTGAATAATAATTGCAATTTTAATTACATATCATATAATATACAGCTTATACTTATATGGTCGCAAATGATTATATTATATGCTCGCAAATTGTATGCACGCAATGACAATCTCATTTGGCCAGGAGTAATACTGTAAATAATAATCGCAATTTTAATTATATATCATATAATATACAGCTTATACTTATAAGGTCGCAAATGATTATATTATATGCTCGCAATGACAGTCCCATTCTGCCAGGAGTAACACTGTAAATAATAATATCAATCTTAATTATAATATACAGCTTATAACATATATGCTCGCAAATGATTAGATTATATTCTCGCAAATGACAATCCCAATTAGCGAGAGGTAATACTGTAAATAATAATTGCAATCATAATTATAAGTTTGTGAAAAATCAAAAATATGGATTAGATTTTTTTTTAGGAAACATCAGGCATTTTTATAATAAATTAAGTAATTTGGTTGATTATCAGTATGTTTCATTGCACTTTTTTATTGGCTTCAATTTTCTTGTTATGTATACTTTACTGTTCTGAATAAGCAACTGAGAAAATTTACAAGTGAGGGTTTCCTCTAGCGAGCCAAATCAACCTTTCTTGATTGAAAAGTATCTTTTGTTAAACGTTTTTTACTTAATTTCTATTTATTTTTTTTCAATTATTAATTTCAGTCTTTGTTTTTGATTATTTTCCTCTCTCGATAAAGCTTATCGAAAATCGGTAAGTAAGAGATCTTTTTGATTGTGCTAGTTTATAGTTAATAACAATGGGGAATGTGGGGATAGTTTTTATCGACCATATCAACCTTCATCTATGAAAAAGTACCCCAACATAGAATCGAGTTAACGTGTCTTATGTACTAGTGAATTGGAAATTGTATTTTTGTAGTGGTAGATACACTACAGTACTCCCCCACCAGAATTATAGCTGTGATAGAATTAGATGAGGGATACCATTAGTTGATTAATTGTTTTGTAGTTTTGTGAGAGCCCGGGAGAGCTGTATTAAGATCTCCGCACTTTTGCTGATCGTGAGAGCTGTATTAAGTTCACGGTCGTGGTTGCTCCTGTATTACCATTAGCAGTCGAGTGTATGCAGGCCAACATTGTGTGTTATCGAGACAGAGTAGCAACAACGCGAGGAGGTGAATAATGTCGCAGTCACAAGTCAACTGTTCAATGTGGACTATCCATTGAAATAGTCCTGCTCAAATCAAAGTGGGAGTTTCTGTCGAAGTAGGTGTGTCCACATCACGTCCGAAGATCACCAATGTGGGGATGGTAGCTATAGATCATGTCAACCTTCATCTATGAAAAGGTACCCCAACATAGAATCGAGTTAGCATGCCTTATATACTACTGAATTGGAGTTGTATTTTTGTAGTGGTAGATACACTACAGGGAACATAAATTTTGTTGCATTTATACAAATGCTTGATTTTGTCTGATTCGAGGGTGGGAATTTCAAATCTGAAATTGGTTTTACTCCTAAAGCTAAAGTTTTTTCTGAATGGCATTTTGAAGTCCTTCTGTGGAAATGTGCAAGTAGAAAAACGTTCTATATAATAGGGGGTCTCGTAACTGTTTCGACAAATTTCTAAGTGAGTTAAGGCACACCATCAGGTCAAAGTTGCATTGGAGTTCATGCAGGAAAATGTCCTCATATGCGACTAAGGGCATTTCCCTATTATGACCCTCACGAAGAAAAGTTTATAATGGCGTAGTGCCCCTAGCGGCGTATGGCATTTCCGAATATGGGTTCCTATGCAATTTTAAATTTCAATGCAATTTCAATAGAAATAATAATAAAGTTTTGCATAAAATATATAAATAATAAAAATTAGTGTATCAAATTAATCTTGTAATTATAATAATAATTTATGTGTTAAAATAAGCTTATAATAGTAATAAATAATGTAGTAATTATTTTAATTTGCAAATGAAGTATTTATAGATAATACAAACTTACTTGCGTATCAAAATCATCCCAGTATTTATCACAAGTGAGAAAGGAGCAGATGGACTGATCCAAATCATCTGAAATGAAATTAAAAATTGTTTTAATTTGATGTCATGATTGTTCTCATCAAATATAATTCCTGTATATAAAAAGATAAGGCGTTCTATTTATAGTATAAGCTATTTAATTTAGGTACATCATTTAATCACATTAAAGGAATTAAAAGTATAGTCAGGGGACTGTCCAGGTCAAATTTACTACAGTTTAACTCAACTTTAATTCCGTTTAATTCAACTACTATTACCATTTAATTAAACTTCAAATTTCTTTTTCTTAAAATTTTAATTTTGTATCTACTAAGAAACGATAAATCCATATTTTTACCATGTTTCTGTGTTGATTTTTTAATATAATTTTTAATATAATTTTCACAAATTATGTCTACATTTTCACAAAATAGGTACCTCTCAGAAAAAACCTAGACAGATCCCTGATAGTTCCTTTACGCAAAAAAATAAGACGTTCTAATTAAAGGATGGCGGGTTACTTAATTTAAGGGTATCATTTAATCACATTAAAAGAATTAAAAAGAAATAATCGCTTTATGCAAAAGGATAAGATGTTCTTTTTAAAGAATGGGTCAATTAATTTAGGGACATCCTTTAATCATATTAATGGAATTAAAAATATAATTCCTTTATGTCAAATGATGAGACATTAGTTAATATCGGGAAATCCCTTAATCACCTTAACGGAATTGAAAGTATTATTCATTTATGTAAAAGGATAAGACGTTCCTTTTAAAGAATAATAGAAGAAATATAATTCCTTAATGTAAAAGGAGACGTTCTATTTAAAGAATGGTTTACTTAATTTAGGGACATCATTTAATCACATTAAAGGAATTAAAAGTACATTTTTTTGAGTAAAAGGATAAGACATTCTATTTAAAGGATGGGTTACTTAATTTAAAGACATCTTTTAATCACTTAAAAATTTAAATCATATTAGAATGCTTAAAACCACTTTACATAAAGAATCACTTAGCGATCATTCGTAGGCATAAATATCCAAGGTAATAAAGTTGGAGATATTATCTCATTAAGATAGTGACAATAAACATTAAACAATAATAAAAGCATAATATAATCAAATAATAATTAGATAATTAAAATCAAATAGTTTTATTGAATATCATAAATATTTTAATTATATTTCAGGACATTAATTCAGTTCAAGTATAATTTAAAATTTTGGTATGCTGGTTCAGATTATTGCAGCCATTTAAAAAAATTACGTCTGAAATTAACGCACATAATCCTCAAAATTTGAAACTTCTTAGATTTTCATGTATCATTGACATCAGTTCTTTTTAAAATATATTTCAATTTCTATTTTCTGATTTCATTTGAATATGTTTGGTTTTACTCTATTTCAAAGTTATTTTTTTCACTGATGATAAGCAATGATGATTCTAACTTATAATTACTGATATGCTTTAGATAAGTTTATTCCAATACTTAATATCAGAGCATTTTTTAATGTCACACAGGGAAAGAATTTCTTTTTTTTTGTTTTCTGTTGCATGAGATTTTTTTTAAACAGTTCAACAACTTTCAGAAACAACTTTCGTATCGCTTAGTTCAAAACTGCAATCGGTTTCTCCCTACAAGCTACAGTTTTCTTTTTACATTAAATTTCCTATCTATATTTTTTTTTATCGAAATGTACAAGCTTAAAAACGTTATATATAACACGGAGTCGCGTGTATTATTATATAGCAGTAAAATGGAGATCTGAAACTATAAATAATTTTTTTGCTATATTTCCTTATACTTCGGTAGTGAAGAGGTTTTATTCTATATTTTTCCGTCTTTTAACAGGAGTTCAGTTGCAGTTTTGGGAATCTACCTTTTGGACAAACAGACAATAACTCACGTTTCGATCTTTCTGCGTTTTTACAGGAAACGAAAATAACTTTTGTTATATTATTGACAAACAGATACTGTTATTGACAGAAACTGTTTCACAATATTTTGCAATTTTCTGCGTTTATTTTTATTTATTTATTATTATTTTTTTTTACAGGGAATGAAAATTTGCTGAAGTTGTTTTATCTTTGGAGGGCTAAGACAAAAATCTTCAACTATTTTTTTTTCACTGTTTAAAAATAATGGGACTAATTATTTGTAAAGATGTGGATAATTTTAGATCAATTAGAATTTGGATTAAGGCTTGGTTTCGCTTTTCTTTACAATGAAATCCAACTGATGCTGAAACAAAGGTTTCTTTTTTCCCCCAGTAATATATATATATATATATANATATATATATATTTACGATTTCTTTTTAGGGTTATAAAAAAAATTACCTTCAATATCTTGAAAGTCTTTAGATGACAAGTTAGCTAACATTCCAATTGTACACTGGCGAACAAGAGACTAAAAGAATAAAAAATTGCGATAAATAATTTAAAAAAAATGTCACAAAGGAAGAAATTGTAAATAAAACTTAATTTATGTTAGTAGATTTATATAAATTGTAAAATAAATCTAAAAATTCTGTGTAGACTTGTCAATATGATGCAAGTAGACAACATTTCAAATTGAGTGATTTAAAGAGGAATGCTTATCATATGACATGCATGATTCAGTTTTAATTAATGCTAATTTTAAAAGGAAGATAAATTCTAATACAAATATCTCAGAAAGTTGAGGTAAATGTTTTGTTAAATATTGTTGAAAGATATGGTATTATTTTATCGAAAACACATTCTAAATACTTTTTAATAGTAAAATATAATTTTATGGTTACTTATGTAAAATAAATATACTTTTTTTATAAGAACAAAACAAATTTCAAGGTTTTTGACTGTGATAATAAAGAGAAGAAATGATGAACAAAAATCTTTCAAAATCCGAGATATATTTCCTAAATATTCAAAATTTTTTTTATAATGTTCTTGCACTTTTTTTAAATTCCAAACAATCTTTTTCGCCGGACATTGTTTACTAAAATTTAAAAATCTTAAAAATATAGTACTAAAATTCGCTAACTCAAAAAAAAAATTTTTTTTAGTCAGTTCGTTATAATTTTTTTTTTATTATTTAATAAATTGCTAACAAAATTTAAATTTTTAAAATGATAATATGCAACCAAATTTTTATTTAAAAAGAAATGATTGGAATAAAATATATTTTGCTACTTTTTTTTAATCAAAACTTTCATTTTTGCGAAACATTCGCAATAATTTGTAACAATATTTTTAAATTTTTTATTACAGATAATTTTGAAAGTTAGTGTTAAAAATAACGTGGAGCGCATATAAGTACAAAATTATAAATTATTTCTATACACATTGTACAAGGAAACGAAATAAAATGTAAGCAAAATACATTTTTAGCACAGTAAGCAAAAAATTGGAATCTATAAAATGAGATCTTGTTTCTTTTGAAATGTTTTTTTAAATATCTCGCGAAACTTTTATGACTATGCCATGCAACACAATTATATGAGATTCGATGAATGTCTTTCACTTATTTATATTTGCTGAAGATCAACAACTTTATAAATTGATTTAATTAAAATAATAATCATATGTTAAATTATAAATTTTATTACAACTTAGAATATTTGAGAAAAATTCTAAGCCTCTAAGTTAGAGAAGTTGTCAAATCCGTGTCGCTAAGTAAGAACTTAAAACCAGTTTAATAGGTGCTGCCATCTTATTATTGTTTTCTGAACTAGCGAAAAAATGAAAAACCTCGTTTCATCCACTAACGCCATCTTTTAATCATTTCTGAAAGCATCATTGATGAGCATGTTGTATTAATTTGGTGATATTTATTTCCGCGTTAAAACGGAGTTGTTTCGAAATAAAATAAAATAATTTTTTCTTGAAATTAATATGTTAAACAATTGATTCGCTATTTACACCACCAACAAAGGAAAAAAAAAAAAAAAAAAAAAAAAAAAAAAAAAAAAAAGGATTTCCACCACACAGAGGAAAAATAGAAAGCACACATGAAGAAATAGAATGAGTTATATTTACTAAAAATCAAAAGCTTTTCATTGTAAAATTTGATTTTCAAATATATTTTGAGTAAAAAACGTCTACATTTATTTTTCCTCAATAAATTCAAAATAGTATGTGCCCAAATTATTCAAAATTATCCAAATTATTCAAAATAGTATAAATTAACACGTGAAACTGTTTCCTGAATCTTAAAACATTTCAAATATGCAAATTTGTAATATTTTCGCGATTTAAACTTAATGGATACTTTACTTTCACAAATAAAACTTGCGGAATCAGTATAAGAAACAACCATTATCTCCCTAAAATTTAAGCTTGATAGGAAGGTATATATGACCTAAATAAAATGTAAGCAATAAGGAAACTGCAGTAGGTCTAACTGAATGCAAAAAAAAAAAAAATCACTCGAATTTTTAATTGTGTTTTTTTTTTTATTTTTTTTTTTATTTAAAGTCACAATGTAGCTTAAAAGTAAAAAATAATTCTAATCATGAAAAATGTATCATATAGTTAAGGCACATTTCAAAATTAAATATAACCAATTTCATTATTTTTTAAAAATATTTCTTGCTGCTTTAGAAACTGTGGTTTAATTATAACATACCTTCATTATATTGGTCCTCATTATATCATACTTTTGAGAGTTCGTTCCCCCGCTGTTCTCATAGTGTGAAAAAAAATTAAAATTTTATTGAATTCACTCACATTCAAATTACTAAAATTTCTCTCTTATCAGATAACCTGTGAAGTAACTACCACTGCAAATATTAAATACCAATTCAATAGTATATAAGATATGTTAACTAATTAGTAAAGTCGATAATTAAATCCCCTCAATGGTGACCTGCGGAAAGTGATTTGAACTCGTCAACATCGATGGATGATCCACATTAAACAGTTGATTTGCTTAAAATATAGCTTTAAAAAAAAATCAGTAAAATTAATGAAAGGCTTACGGCCAATAAACAAAAAATGAAGAAAATAAAATAATGAGCGAAATTATATAAGAAAATAAAATAATGAGCGAAATGATATAAGAAAATAAAATAATGAGCGAAATGATATAAGAAAATAAAATAATGAACAAAGTGATATAAATAAACAAAAAATGAAAAAAAAAATATAATGAGCAAAAATGATATAAAAAAAAACAGCATAAATAAATTAGTGATAATCGTTTATCGAATTCTATCACAGATAATATTCTGGAAGGGAAATAATTATTAAAAATATTTTATTTTTCTTCTCGTTTAAAAACTCTTTTGTGAGCATGTTTTCTGCATATTTTAAACTATGCACAGTAAACGCAAATTATGCATAGTAAATAAAACTTATTATTATATTTTTCTTAATTTTCTTCAATAATCTCTCTTTTTTTTATCTTTTTGTCTTTATTGTGTTTTATTAATATATATATATATATATATATATAATCTGAATAGATAGATTAACTTAAATTATTACACTGTTTGAAACGTAAATTCAGTAATTGCTTTACTTTAATAATTAAAAACATAATAAATTGCACGAATTACAACATTTATTTATTTCTTTATTTTTGTTTCGACATCAATAATGCGTTCTTTTTATATTTATCTGACAAATTATGTTGCAATAATTTAAATTGCCATTTAAAATGAGGGAAAATATAACATACTTTAATCGACATTTCTTGACACTGCTCATATTTTATATCTATAATTCTGTCCCAATAAGTAATAAAATATTTGAAGCATAAATTCACAACATATTCAAATAATAACTCTTTGAAAATAAGAATGCAGTTTAATGTAGCGCAATTCTGGGTTTGAGAATAAATTTTTAAATTCTTTTTCCGATAAACTTGAATACGAATTTTTTTGTTGTTTTATAATGTTTTTCCATGAGCTTGTTAGAACAAGAATAAAATCAATTGCCAGACCATCCCTTTTCGTATTGTCCTAAAGCAGTTACGATTCTGAGCAAATGTCCATAAGCAATATAACGCTTCTTGCTTATTTTCTTCTTATTTATGAAAGTACTCATTAAAGGTTGAGAAGTTTATATTGTGTTGTAAATCACCTCTTCGACTAAGGAATTAATAGCAATAACGACAACACAAATACATTTCCTTCAAGAAAAAGAACGACGAACGAAAAAATCTGAGTTCCGTAAGGCATAAAAAGTAATAACGTGTCTTACTTAGCAAAAAAGATTACCCTAGACTGGATGTATTGAGTAATTGTAGGTTATAGGATAATAATTCCGTCATTGTTATAGATATATGCGATGATTACTATAAAACTTCTTTTTTTAGCAAAATGTAATTTTTTTAAAGGGAAGATGAGACTAATTTTTGCGTCAGCTACTGATCACTATGATAACTAGATATTGGAGGCTCTATAATTATAGCCGATGAGATGATTCTGAGACAATCTCAATTTTTTCCCCTCTTTCTTTTCACAATCTGAGAAGTTTTATTTAAAAATTACACTTTTTCCCTCAACCCTTGGGTACTGATCGATCAGAAAAGGGAAGTTTTTCAGACCGAAGGGAATAATTTGCACTTCGTGATTTATGAAGTGGAGTGGAGATGTCATTAAACACGATTAAAATATCGTTTGCTGCAATTTCTGCATTCGTTACTTGAAACAACGGATCTATCGAAAGGAATAATAACTCTTAACTGTTAGAAGAATAGAAAAGAGACAATTTTATAATTTTATTACAAATAAATTATCATTCTTTTAATAACTATGCATTAATTTGATTAACTTCTTGTCCGAACCCTGTTTTCTTAAAGTCTATTTGTTTAAGTTGATACTGCGAATTATGATGAATTAATTTAATGAAAGGATGGTGTTAATATTCTAAATGTTGCTTGCAGCTTTCAATGCGGGAAAAAAGACACGATAAATTTTAATATCGTTTGCTGTAATTTTTCAAATAGTTACTTAAAGCAATGATTTCGTCTAACGATTAACGCATTGAAGAGAACAAAATATTTCTTTTTTAATATAAATAAATTATAATTATCTCAAATTGTTATTCTCTCAATAATTTCGAAATAATTCGATTAACTTTCTGTCCGAAGCCTGTTTCTTGAAGTATATTTGTTTAAGTTGATACTGCGAATTATGATAAATTAATTTAATGAAAGGATGGTGTTAATATTCTAAATGTTGCTTGCAGCTTTCAATGCGGGAAAAAAGACACGATAAATTTTAATATCGTTTGCTGTAATTTTTCAAATAGTTACGTAAAGCAATGATTTCGTCTAACGATTAACGCATTGAAGAGAACAAAATATTTCTTTTTTAATATAAATAAATTGTAATTATCTCAAATTGTTATTCTCTCAATAATTTCGAAATAATTCGATTAACTTCCTGTCCGAAGCCTGTTTCTTAAAGTCGATACTATAAA